TCCTACCTCCATAGTGACTTAAGGTGGACTAAATGTTGAAGTTGTTTTTCTTTATAAGATTTAGCCGAGTAAACTATTAAAGTTTCAGTTCGTTGAAAGGAAAACTCAATAAGCACCCCTTTCGATCAAGCACCTTCGTTCCAATAAGTGCCCCTCCTTTTAGCTGAAATTTTAAGTAAGCAACCCGGGCGCTTGATCGCGGAAAACGATATTCTGAGTCGACCAAAAGCGACATCAAATTACACATAAAATATTTCCTAGGATCACATAGTCTCACGTAGTGATCGTCTTGAATAGGCTTCAGTTTTTATGCTTGAGTTGTGCAGCGAAGAATTCTCATCTGTCTGTCGTACTTCATCATTTTATCTTTATCTGTATGGTGCGTTAGTTATGCAACTATGTAGTCTCGTCGTTCCCAGTTCTTTGACGACCGACTAGACAAGTAGGACTTGGTTACGAGATCAAATACTTTCGAATATAAGTAAGCCTTGGGAAAAAATGACAATACAAGCTCAAACGGTGTAGACAACAGATAACTTAATGAAATTATTGTCCACGATTTACAACATATTTCAGTCTCAAGAAAAGAAAACTGTTTACTTATTTTCGCTCGGTAGGTATTTTAAGATACGTTACTCCCCGCACAGGAAACAAGCCGGCTACATTGAAAGAAAGTAAGGTTAGACAGATTAAGATTAAACGGAAAACATCTCATTTTATTAGATAGTTTGTAAATAAATGGTCCACACAATAATATTCAATCGACATTAAGGCTACAAACTAGAAGTCTTTCAAATTCGCCTTGAGTCTCTGTCTTACATAATTGCTCTTTTTATTTCTCTTACATTTTTTAAGTTTCGAATTCCCATTACAATTTTTTATGTACGAAATCGCTTGCTTATAATATGATCGCTTTAAGCTTGTACTAAACTGTAAATATAACAACTTTCTTTACACTTGTACCTTATATTTTGACTGTTTTAACCCTGTAACCTCCCAGAAGTGATTAACATGAAAATTCTATCCGTGACAAACAGACACTATCCAGCAAAAATGTAACGAGAACGCTCAAAATTATCAGTAGAGACTTTTGTCTTGGTCTATTTCCAAATTCTCTATTTTGCAAGGAAGTGCAAAGCAACTGGAGGGGAGAATGAACAGTTTAAGGGTTAAAATTTCTTGTTATTGTCAGGTGCCTTTTGGTCTGTTGAATATTGCCGTAACAGTTTTGTTAAGCGCAGTATTTCAACAATAACAACTTGCATTAACTCTTAGGAATTATAAAAACTAACAGAGAGCTAGAATTACGCTCATGCATTGATCTTCCTTAAAACGCTCTTTGAAAAAAATGATGCCTAACTTTTCCTAAGTCGCCCTCGTTAAAGTTTATGCCAATTTTCTCTTTCGATCAGGGTCTGCTTTTGTCTCCTATTTTATGATTTCATCAGTTTTTTCCTCAGCAAAGGAAACAACAGAAATCGTTTTAATCGTTTTAAAAGCGTAGTCAGAGTAGATTTTTGTGGAAAGTTTTGCTTCCTTTCTTAAACTTCTGGTAGAATCTGAGCTTTGAAGACGTTTTAAGTTATCAGGTACAAGTTGTTATCGCCAAGAATCAAACCTTTTTGCTTCAGATTGTCTGTTCCGGGCTTTCAGTTTCTAAAACGGAGTGAAATACTAAACGGCCCTGTATCAGCGGCAGAGAGAAAATGTGGGAGGCTTGGATCGGGCAGTGTTCAATACGTGACCTGACCCAAAACTCTCTCGCTTTTTCACTCCTTCGCTACTATCGTACCGTTTTCTGACGCACTTCGTTTCAGTTACTAAACGCCTGGAACAGGCTAAGATTTAGAAATTTTCGCTACCAACATTTCTCTGTCAGTCAAATTACCTCAGGGTTGTATTCGGTAAGATCTGGCATCTCTAAATCTTGTGGTTCCATCTCAGTGCTGCCAGGAAAATGCAAAAAGCAATAGTTGTTTATTAGCAGATTCGATGGCCTTAATTGAGTGTAAATGAGCTTATACTCAAGGAACTTAAAGTGTCTACGGGTTCAAAGTTCGACGGCACACACATGTACATTAAGTGTCGATGAACTGTACTCAATGGTGATATTGTTTAATAACAGCAAATGTTCAGTCGATTGTTCTTCCGACATTTCTTCGACTCTTGGAACGACGGTCTTCAAGGTCTGCTCCAACGCAGTGACGATGACGTCACTTTCATCTTGACCTTGCACAGTAAAATGCACAGACATTCTTTTGTTGCAGTTGGCAAGAACCATGATTTTTTTTTTGCATTCATCACATTTCACTAGCAAACTAGCTGAGGCTTGCAAAAGCTTTCTTGAACAGTGTACGCAAAGAGGGTATTGCTGAACCTTCTCCACAGTTTTTATGAAGAGAACAAATAACGGCAATTTATGCTCTTGTGGAACTTCATGAAGGCTCTTCCATGGTTATGCCCTTGGGCTTGTCATCTTGAATGGCAGAGATGACGGAATTGGACATGTAGCACACACGGATGTTTGTTATCTTGTAAACTGCGGCCGTGGTAATTAAAGCGAGATTATCTTCCGACAGGCTGATAGTTATCTTTCCTGTTAGATCTGCGATTGTCCCTTCAGCCAGGAGACTTTGTTTGCCAAGGCGAACCGTTGATATTTCACTGATGTTTCCTACCTTACCGAGGACTGACACTGAATCACCTTCTCTTGAATTCTGGAGGATATCTGTTATTGCGGTGCACTTGTTGGTCGACAGCTCAGCAAACTGGAAGCAATAGTCAGTTGGTGAGGGTTGACTACTACCAGGGCCTAGCTAAACCATTACTGGAGTTCAGATTATCATTTCGGAAGAGACTATAACCACTGATGTCATACAGGTCATTAGGATCTTGAGAACTAAATCTTGTTTCTGCAAAAATGTTTATATCAGAACTGGAATGATTAAGATCTTTACGCAAGCCTTGGATGTGTTTATGAACAGGTAGAGGCAGAATCTCTTATGACCAAAATGTTATTAAGGTAACTTTCATTGCCAGATACTTTGATAATTGTAGACTAAATTATCTGATGAAGTCTGTTAAGGTTTGCTACATTACAGCGATGGAGTAGGTAGTTCCCGTAGTTGCGATAATTTATATCAAATTTTCGTGTGAACACTCACAACACCAAAATTAATAACTTTGGAAGCGAAAGACTTATCTGGAGGTTTGAGCAGTTCCAAAACAGTCCTTACACCTTTTTCATCAGAATCTGTTGTACTAGCTTGCAAGAGAAACGCGGTCGATGCTATGCCCTTGGTAATCGCCCTATATTTGATTTCGGTTGCGCGGGCTCAATCAACGTTTTTAACGGCTTCAGAAAAAGCACGCCGAGTAATAGGTTATTGTTGTCTTGTTTCGATCTAAAGAGATTTCAGCGGCCAATACTACCCTCTGCTCTACATTGTAAACATGCTGATAACAAAGCTGTTAGAAGGAAGTGCTCTTCAGGAACTGATTGAACCCTATTCATACTCAAGAACTAAAGCAATGGCGACCATCCTGATGAGGAGACGCTGGAGGCGGATTGGACACGTCACCCACCAAGAAGCCTCTATCGCAAAAACCGCTCTTCACTGGACGACTGGAGGGAAACTGAACAGTAGCCGCCCAAAGAACACCTTGCGGCGGACGGTAAAGGGAGAAATTCAGGAGATGGGGAAGACCTGGGAGGACATCAAGCTCATGGCAAACGACCGATAGTCTTCCTGCCTCCACTTTCACACACGCGCAGACACTACTTAGCACTTGCAATCGTTTTATGATATATACAAATAAGAAATGGCTGCGGACTGTTTTATTTCCCTCTCAAAAAAATTACGTTTTTTCTGTCAATTATTCTCGCGTGTTGATTTGATCATCATGTTTAATTTTTTTCTCGCTTGAAAAAATGGTAGAGACTCCCAAGTTTTCATTTTGACTACATCTTTTTCTTTTTATTATTTCTGTAACACTTTCAATTTTCCTTCGCTTATTTTGCGAAACGGCGGTTGTTTTTTAACATTTATGTTTTCCTTTGAAATTTTGTGCAGGAAATTGGCGCACGGCAGGCCAGAATTGATTCATTTGCAGTTGCTGCACTTTTGACCGCTGTGTTATTGGCGCGTAGCTCATCAAACTTAACTCATTTGTGCATGTTTTTTGTTTAGCCGCCATGTGCGTTGCAAACCAGAAGATTTCATAAATCTTTCTTTGCTTTCAGCGGTGACATGACGCATTTTTCACTACAGCGGAGGAGTCTGTTACTTCCGAATTTGATCAAAAATGAAACAAGATAATCAATGATCAATCAATTAGTTATGTCTGCCAGGAGCCCATTATCCGGAGCTTCCATCTTCCATACTTACCCTCTGAGTCAACCCTGTCCCGTATCTTTTATTTCTTACAGCACCTCCCACGGGGTTTTTCGCGGATGTTTACATAATAGCTGGTCATAAGAAAGCTGTGGTCCTCTATTGTTTACATTACATGCAGGCCGCACGAAACTATTTCAATAATGGCAAAAAGCGCGGAAAGTTTACCAGTTTTTTAGAGTGTTATGCGAACGTCAGCGTGTTCGGGGGAAATTAAAGAACCCCACATATCTCAGTTCTAAAAATAAAAAGGGACAGGGTTGCCTCAAGAGTACAATTGTTATGGAGACTCCGGGTAATGGGCTCCTCTGTCTGCTAAATAAAGAGCCGTGCAAATCAGCACGTGCGTTTTCAAACAATAGACATATTTCAGCTGCCCTCAGCAAAGCAACTCCCGAGATCACCAAAACCTGCGCGAACCATGATGACCAATTCTGACACAGCCACACGTTTGTGAAATTGTAAAGAAAATTATACATGATAATTATACAAATTAATCCATGTTTCCTCAGCTTTGCCGTCCTTTCTCCTTTTAAAGTTCCTAATCCGACGCAAACTCGTCGCCGCATTATTCCTAGAATCTAGACTATATCTAAGTTATTTCCTTCAGGGACCGTTGTGACCTGACAAACCTGACCATTCTCCTTTCAGTGCTGGTTGCCGATAGTTCTTGCCGTAATTCATACTCAACATCTTATCCACATCTTTCACAGTCACGAATTGTTCATTGTTGATGGTGACAATGGACGATCCTTCCATCAGGGCTTGACCTGCCTCATAAAAATCTACATAGCCACGTTGTCTCCAGTACTGAGACACTGGCAACATTCCCTTTACTGCTTCTTCCAGATCACTACTGAATAATGCTTTGCCTTCTAAGTCTTCAGGCCCGTCAAAATAAGGGGCTGTATTTACGTCGATGTACGGGGGCACAAGAATATGCCCCCTGGGCATGTTCATGAAAGACCAACCTATATAGTATTGATTTTCGAGAACCTTTTCAAGAGCAGTATACGTTGAAGCATTTTTATACACGGAGGCAGGTAATGCAATATCTACGTCGTATGTCCATGGTATGATCGCTTTACTCCTGACAGCCCCTAACAAGGTGCCATCAACAATTCGGTATTCTAGCCCCAGTTTGTTTAGCCCTCTCACAAAATCGCTCAGCATTTTCCATAAAACAGTGCTGCAACATATCGGTGCAGCTACGCCGGGTAGACCTCTTGGCTCTATATAGGGCTTCTCCGGGCACATCTTCCAGTTTGCGACACAAGCCATCCATTCTATTCTATTCTCCGTTACGATCCGAAGTACCTTATGTTTATTGGCAAAATTTGCATATTCAGGAACCTCCTTTGAGCCTTTCAAATTTCCTCGATCCGTACGCTTGATTTTGGGTGTCCACGCGCAAGAACCAAGCTTTGCAATCTTCAATTCGCCCTTTGATCGTAGAAAAAACTCCAATAAGGATAATTTCCCAAAACCGTCGATTAGTCCCCCAATTTTCTGAAACACATCCTTCCTTATTACAAATGGACCTTGCACGATACTGCAGGTTTGTACAAGCGCGTCAGTTGTCCCACTTTCACTGTCAGAGTCAAGCCAGAGAGACTTCTGTAGCATGAGGATTTTTACAGGGCCTGTATTCCTAATGTGAACGCTCCACATTTTTTTCACAAAACGACACCAAGATTGATCCAACATGAAATTTCCAGAGGCTTTCATTTCATGGCTTCCCTGTTGTTGCATACAAGTTGCACCATGAAATTGTGTTCTTGAACGAAGAAAATCACTCAACATCCTTACGGAATGTTTGTCTTTGTCCTCCAGTACACGATCAATTTCCAGCTCTTTGGTTGAAAAGGGCAAAATCAACAGATAGAGAGTATTGTTATTCACCGCACTGGAATAAGACAGACCCGAATGAATGACAGCCATTGAATCTCTCCGAGAGAGCAACGCACTTGAATTAGAAACGTTAAACTTTACTGAGTTCGAAATCCTGAGTATTTGCGTTTCTATTTCAGAGTCGTTGCGTTTGACATTTTTTCGCCAGTTCAAGTTCAAACCAACGAAACACAAATAACAAAGATACGAATATAGTATCAGAGACGACAAACATATAAAAAATTTTCGCTTCCATTCCATTGCGCGAGAAGCTCACTTTTTTGAGATCAGAAATATTCGATAACAATTACTTTTTTGTCACAATTTGGTACTATTGATCCAATTTCCCAGCTTTCAACAATTTAGAGCCAGAAAAAGTGGATGAGCTGGCGCCTTAGCTGTGATAGCATTATGATTTTAACAAACGTTAATTAAGGAATATATTTTCGTTTGATCAGTTCCTCGTGAAAAATTAACCTCCTTCTGTATAAGAAGCGGTGTAACCATGGTTTCCATTCGTGATCACCGTTATGACGGGGGAGTCTCTTCTGAATATATCCATATCGTCGACGGATTTGGATGTAAACTCTATTTCAGCAGATTAGGAGAACCATAAATGCTTATTTTGATGAGGGAAAATACCATGAGAGTGCGGGGTAAAATTTCCGCACAGCCCCATACTACATTATGCATTCAGTTCTTGGATAGAGAAAACAATGACAAAAACAATAGATTGCCATTGGGAAAACAGATTTGTTTTACAATAGTATGGGGCTGTGCGGAAATTTTACCGGGTGCGGTATTGGGGTATTGAGGGTGCGACAATCCAGGAAATTTTATTTCAACGGAATGTAATTATTGACTTTAGCCTCAAAATGTGTTTTGACTTAACATCGTTAAGACTGAGAGATACCAAATGTGAATGACTGAATGTGACCTGCGTGAACGCGTTCATCAAGTCCATGAGAAAATTGCTATCATGGTACAAAGGTAAACACAGCTTGAAAACTAACTAATTGATGTCTTATCAACACTGTTTATGGGTTTCGAATAACTTTCTCGGAAAAAAAAATATAAAAAGTAAATATATGCTGATTATTTTATTTACCCTTGGTCAATTATCCGGCTTTAATTTTCATTCTCGAAAAAGGCGAGCACTTTGTCAGTGTGACACTGTTCATTTTTTCTAGTTAAATTCGTTAAGAAGGATCATTTGACTAATAAGCAATTCAGACAATTCGGGAACGAAAAACACTCAATTGCTGTGCGTAGCTGAGGGAAATTTTGGGTACCATGGAGACCAGGCAAAACGAGGCTTGCTCTTTTTTAAGTCCATTTCGGTCTTCTTGACAGGTTAAACAAAGTTATGAGAGAATTATTTTTGTCTCAATTTGGTAACATTGATTCCGCCAATTTGCCAGCTTTTCATCATTTCAATCTGACACTGACAGACTTGGCGAGCCATTGATCATACAAGCAATTTATCTTATACAACTTAGCTATGACAATTTTAATTTTCTTCTGGGATCGATGAACGCTTTCATGCCGGTTACAATCGTTCATTCCTATTTTAGAATATCTCTTAATCGTAACGCTCCTCGTTCAAACCACATTTGGCAGCAGATCAGAGTGACTGTGAGCCAGTCAACTCGGAAAATGTTGTACTGAAGGGTGGGATGTCGGGGCCACTGAGCTGACTTCGAATTTTAAAACTTTACCACGCTTTATCCTCTTTGTCTGCTGCTCCCTCGATGCACGTAATCAATTTCATAGACGCTCTACATACTTGGCGCAATGGATTGTGCTTCTTCTTTCAAGCGAGAGGTTTAACCCTTTAAAACCTCCAAGAGTGACTAACAACTAATTTCCCTTTCCAACATCACCCCGAAATCAAACATTAAGGTCATGAGAATAAAGGAGATGATCACCAACTAAAGAAACCCTTGATTGTTGAACAAATTCTCCTTGTCAGAACCCTAGGAAATGTAGAGAGAACAGTATGGAGAATATGCATGCTGATGTTAGGGAGTAAAGGGTTAAGGATCGATCATTTGCGGCTGGAAACTTTTTTTGAGGGGGGGTCTTTCCTTTTTCTTCTTTTCCCCTCCCCTTTTTATTGTCTTTCATGGACATGCCCAGGGGACATATTCTTGTGCCCCCAGACATCGAAGTCAATACAGCCCCTTATTTTGTGGGCCGTGGGACCTAAAAGGCAAAGCATCATTTAATAGTGAACTACTTCGTGGCCGTGAAAGATGGGGATAGAATCATAATGAGTATCGACTGCGACAATAACTACCGGCAACCAGCACTTCAAGGAGAATGGTTGGGTTTGTCAGATAACAATGGTCTTTGAGGCAGCAAACAGAGACTTAGCTACGATTATAAGAGGAATGCTCCGCCAAGTCTGAGATTAGAGACCTTAAATGCAGACAGGACGACAACGCCGAGGAAAGCTTCGATTAAAACTGAATTTATTTTTCTTCATATTTTCCAGAATGGGTAGATGTCTCGATGTCTCGTGTCTAATGGCGCCAGACCTCAATTTCAGCTTAAAATATGTGAGCGCTAGCAACGTTTAGTTTTAAATATAAACATAAATAGTTCCCCGTCATTGTTTAAACTCTCAGACCACGTAAGTTTTGGTGATTTAGGGTTTTGCTTTGTAGAGGGTGGCTAGCAATTATATAATGTTTTAAAATGCACGTGCTTTTCTATTCGAAAATGTGTCAATTTCGGCCAATGACAATAGCTATTCCAAACCTCCATAGTGACTTAAGGTGGACTAAATGTTGAAGTTGTTTCTCTTTATAAGATTTAGCCGAGTAAACTATTAAAGTTTCAGTTCGTTGAAAGGAAAACTCAATAAGCACCCACTTCGATCAAGCACCTTCATTCCAATAAGCGCTCCTCCTTTTAGCTGAAATTTTAAATAAGCAACCCGGGCGCTTGATCGCGGAAATGCGATATTCTGACTCGACCAAAAGGCGACATCAAATTACGCATAAAATATTTCCTTGGATCACATGGTCTCACGTAATGACCGTCTTGAATGGGCTTCAGTTTTTATGCTTGAATTGTGCAGCGAAGAATTCTCATCTGTCTGTCGTACTTCATCATTTTATCTTTATCTGTATAAAGAAGTATATAAAGTAACGGCAATTATGCTCTTGTGGAAATTCATGAAGGCTCTTCCATGGTTATGCCCTTGGGCTTGTCATCTTGAATGGCATAGATGACGGAATTGGACATGTAGTTAACTTCTTGGCACCATTCCAGAAGAGCACACGGATGTTTGTTATCTTGTAAACCGTGGTAATGGTGCCGTGGTAATTAAAGCGAGATTATCTTCCGACAGGCTGATAGTTATCTTTCCTGTTAGATCTGCGACTATCCCTTCAGCCAGGAGACTTTGTTTGCCAAGGCGAACCGTTGATATTTCATTGATGTTTCCTACCTTACCAAGGACTGACACTGAATCACCTTCTCTTGAATTCTGGTGGATATCTGTTATTGCGGTGCACTTGTTGGTCGACAGCTCCGCAAACTGGAAGCAATATTCAGTTGGCGAGGGTTGAGTACTACCAGGGCCTAACTAATCCATTACTGGAGTTCAGATTATCATTTCGGAAGAGACTGTAACCACTCATGTCGTACAGGTCATTAGGATCTTGAGAACTAAATCTTGTTTCTGCAAAAATGTTTATATCAGAACTGGAATGTCTTTACACAAGCCTTGGATGTGTTTATGAACAGGCAGAGGCAGAATCTCTTACGACCAAAATGTCATTAAGTTAACTTTCATTGCCAGTAACTTTGATAATTGTAGACCAAATTATCTGATGAAGTCTGCTAAGCTTTGCTACATTACAGCGATGGAGTAGGTACCTAAACGATTCCCATAGTTGCGATAATTTATATCAAATTTTCGTGTGAACACTCACAACACCAAAATTAATAACTCTGGAAGCAAAAGACTTATCTGGAGGTTTGAGCAGTTCCAAAATAGTCCTTAAACTTTTTTCATTATAATCTGTTGTACTAGCTTGCAAGAGAAACGCGGTTGATACTATGCCTTGGTAACCGCCCTATATCCGAAATCGGTTGCACGGGCTCAATCAACGTTTTTAACGGCTTCCGAAAAAGTGCACCGAGTAATAGATTATTGTTGTCTTGTTTCGATCTCAGGAGATTTCAGCAGCCAATACTACCCTCTACTCTAAGTTTAACTTGTACGTTAGGAGGGCATTCAAATCTGGGTTCATATAGAGTGATTTAAAAGGAATATTCGGAGTATCAGGTAGGTTCTTGTCACAATAATTCATTATCAACTGATCGAATGAAGCTTGTATCAATAAGATGAGGTCCAAGAAACTGAATCCTGCTTGATCGGACGTAACTTTCATTGGAAACTTTATTTCCCTTTCAAAAAACTTACTTTTTTCTGTCAATTATTCGCGCGTGTTTATTTGATCATCATGTTTAATTTTTTCTCGCTTGAAAAAATGGTAGAGACTCCCAAGTTTTCATTTTGACTACATTTTTTTCTTTTTATTATTTCTGTAACCCTTTCAATTTTCCTTCGCTTATTTTGCGAAACAGCGGTTGTTTTTTAACATTTATGTTTTCCTTTGAAATTTTGTGCAAGAAATTGGCGCACGGCAGCCCAGAATTGATTTATTTGCGGTTGCTGCACTTTTGACCGCTCTGTTATTGGCACGTAGTTCATCAAACTTAACTCATTTGCGCATGTTTTTTGTTTAGCCGCCATGTGCGTTGCAAACCAGAAGATTTCATAAATCTTTCTTTGCCTTCAGCGGTGACATGACGCATTTTTCACTTTGGCGGAGGAGTCTGTTATTTCCGAATTTGATCAAAAATGAAACAAGATAATCAATGATCAATCAATTAGTTATGTCTGCCAGGAGCCCATTATCCGGAGCTTCCATCTTCCATACTTACCCTCTGAGTCAACCCTGTCCCGTATCTTTTATTTCTAGCAGCACCTCCCACGGGGTTTTTCGCGGATGTTTACATAATAGCTAGTCATAAGAAAGCTGTGGTCCTCTATTGTTTATATTACATGCAGGCCGCACGAAAGTATTTCAATGATGGCGAAAAGCGCAGAAACTTTACCATTTTTTAAGAGTGTTATGCAAACGTCACCGAGATTTGGGGGGAAATTAAAGAACCCCCACATATCTCAGTTCTAAAAAAAAAAGGGACAGGGTTGACTAAAGGGTACAATTGGTATGGAGGCTCCGGGTAATAGGCTCCTCTGTCTGCTAAATAAAGAGCCGTGCAGATCAGCACGTGCGTTTTCAAACAATAGACATATTTTAGCTGCCCTCAGCAAGGCAACTCCCGAGATCACCAAAACCTGCGCGAACCATGATGACCAATTCTGGCACAACCACCCATTTGTGAAATTGTAAAGAAAATTATACATTCTTTTTAATCGATGTTTCCTCAGCTTTGCCGTCCTTTCTCCTTTTAAGGTTCCTAATCCGACGCAAACTCGTCGCCGCATTATTGCTAGAATCTAGACTATATCTAAGTTATTTCCTTCAGGGACCGTTGTGATCTGACAAACCTGACCATTCTCCTTTGAGTGCTGGTTGCCGATAGTTCTTGCCGTAATTCATACTCAACATTTTATCCACATCTTTCACGGTCACGAATTGTTTATTGTTAATGGTGACAATGGACGATCCTTCCATCAGGGCTTGACCTGCCTCATAAAAATCTACATAGCTACGTTGTCTCCAGTACTGAGCCACTGGCAACATTCCCTTTACTGCTTTTTCCAGATCACTACTGAATAATGTTTTGCCTTCTAAGTCTTCAGGCCCGTCAAAATATGGGGCTGTATTTACATCGATGTACGGGGGCACAAGAACATGCCCCCTGGGCATATTCATGAAAGACAAACCTATATAGTATTGGTTTTGGAGAACCTTTTTAAGAGCAGTATACGTTGAAGCATTTTTATACACGGAGGAAGGTAATGCAATATCTACGTCGTATGTCCATGGTATGATCGCTTTACTCCTGACAGCCCCTAACAAGGTGCCATCAACAATTCGGTATTCTAGCCCCAGTTTGTTTAGCCCTCTCACAAAATCGCTCAGCATTTTCCATAAAACAGTGCTGCAACATATCGGCGCAGCTACGCCGGGTAGACCTCTTGGCTCTACATAGGGTTTCTCCGGGCACATCTTCCAATTTGCGACACAAGCCGCCCATTCAATTCTATTCTCCGTTACGATCCGAAGTACCGTATGTTTATTGGCGAAATTTGCATATTCAGGGACCTCCTTTGAGCCTTTCAAATTTCCTCGATCCGTACGCTTGATTTTGGGTGTCCACGCGCAAGAACCAAGCTTTGCAATCTTCAATTCGCCCTTTGATCGTAGGAAAAAACTCCAATAAGGATAATTTCCCAAAGCCGTCCATTAATCCTCCAATTTTCTGAAACACATCCTCCCTTATTACAAATGGACCTTGCACGATACTGCAGGTTTGTACAAGCGTGTCAGTTGTTTCAGTGTCACTGTCGGAGTCAAGCCTGAGAGACTTTTGTAGCGTGAGGTTTTTTACAGGGTCTGTATTCCTAATGTGAACGCTCCACATTTTTTTCACAAAAAGACACCAAGATTGATCCAACATGAAATTTCCAGATGCTTTCATTTCATGGCCTTCCTGTTGTTGCATACAAGTTGCACCATGAAATTGTTTCCTTGAACGAAGAAAAAACATCAACGTTTGTCTTTGTCCTCCAGTACACGATCAATTTCCTGCTCTTTGGTTGAAAAGGGCAAAATCAACAGGTAGAGAGTATTGTTATTTACCACACTGGAATAAGACAGATCCGAATGAATGACAGCCATCGAATCTCTCCGAGAGAGCAACTCATTTGAATTAGAAACGTTAAACTTTGCTGAGTTCGAAATCCTGAGTATTTGCGTTTCCATTTCAGAGTCGCTGCGTTTGACATTTTCTCTCCCGTTCAAGTTCAAACCAACAAAACAGAAATAACAAAGATACGAACACAGAATCAGAAACGGCAAACATAAATATTTTCGCTTCCATCCCATTGTCCAAGAAGCTCACTTATTTGGGATCAAAAATATTCGATGACAATTATTTTTGCCACTGTTATAAAGTCGTCTTGGAATGACCTATCACCTGGTGACAACCTCTTTTGAAATAGGTGTATGCCCTTGGCCAGACTTGAGCTCACTATTTCAGTATACTAGTCCGACACCCATAGTATCACTACACTTGATCTCAAGGATCCTGTACCATCCAGGTATCCCAGTTACCCTGCTCACAGGGTCTAGTTTATATCAAATTTTCGCGTGAATATTCACAACACCAAAATTAATAACTTCGGAAGCGAAAGACTTATCTGGAGGTTTGAGCAGTTTCATAATAGTTCTTAAATTATTGTTATTAGAATCTGTTGTATTAGTTCGCAGGAGAAACGCGGTTGATGCTATGCCCTTGGTAACCGCCCTATATCCGATTTCTGTTGCGCGGGCTCAATCAACGTTCTTAACGGCTTCTGAAAAAGCGCCGAGTAATAGGTTATTGTTGTCTTGTTTCGCTCTCAAGAGATTTCAGCGGCCAATACTACCCTCCGCTCCAAGGTTAACTTGTACGTTAGGAGGGCATTCAAATCTGGGTTCATACAGAGTGATTTAATAGGAATATTCTGAGTTTCAGGTAGGTTCTTGTCACAATAGTTCAGTATCGACCGATCGAAGGAAGCTTGTATCAATAAGATGAGGTCCAAGAAACTGAATCCTGCTTGATCGAACTTAACCCTCATTGGAAACATGCTGATAACAAAGATGTTAGAAAGAAGTGCTCTTCAGGAACTGATTGAACCCCGTTCATACTCTACTAATTGCAGGACTTACAAATTTAATTTCAGTTGCAGAGCTCTAGCTTAGGATAAATTTTAAGTGATTGGACCGAATTATGTACTTGAAGGCTTCAATTTGCAACAAAATTAAGCTATTTTTGCATGATTCAACATTGCACATTCCCCCACACCTTTCAATCATGTTTGTGAACAGAGAAGTACTGGATTGCTCAGCCAGAGAAGAGATCATAATATAGGAAAGGACTAGGGGTTGCAATTGGCATGCAATTAATTCATTGATGTACAACAACTGCTTTGTTGTAGATTGTTAAAGTCAATGAATGTTATGGGGTATGATCAGGGAATGATATATGTAAATAATATACGAAGAAAGAGATATTTAGGTAAAAATTGAAAGCTGTCAATACAGTAAATGTTGATATCGTTGTTCATTGATAATTTGATGTATATTCTGCAATCATTAGATTATATATGAACAAGGTTCAATCAGTTCCTGAAGAGCACTTCCTTCTAAAAGCTTTGTCAACAGCATGTTCCCAATGAAGGTTAAGTCCAATCAAGCAGGATTCAGTTTCTTGGACCTCATCTTATTGATGCGAGATTCCGTCGATCGGTCGACACAAAATTATTGTAACGAGAACCCACCTGACACTCCGAATATTCCTATTGAATCACTCTATATGAGCCCAGATTTGAATGCCCTCCAAACGTACAAGTTAGCCTTAGAGCGGAAAGCAGTATTGGCCGCTGAAATCTCCTTCCTCATATGAGATCGAAACAAGACAACGACAACATGCTATTAGGCGCACTTTTCCGAAAGCCTTTAAATCGAGAACAATACATGGGCGCGCGTGGATTTAAGAATTTTTTCATGCTTATATATCGAGTGATGGATGCACGCGGAAAGTTTGGAGAGCACGAAAAATGCGTAAGAGTGCTCTATAGACACAGTTAAAAGCATGGGCAAATTCTTTTATAAAATAGCGACAACAAGGATCTGCGCGAAGAAGCCTTTTATTGTGATAAAGTGCAAAATTCTCACAACGCGCAAAAAAAAGGAAACAAACGTCCCTATTGGCTGGTAAAAAACACGCCACATTTTATGCTTTGGTTTGAGCGAGAACATTTGAGCCAGTTAACCGATAACTGTGAATGAAAAGTTCAAAATTTGCTCGAAAAATGGAGAAAATCAAAGCCAAATGAACTCAAGCGTCACTTAAATATGATTTCAAGGACCGAAACTACTCGCGAGTTTTTTTCGGCTTTATTTTTGTTGCTTGTTGGATGAGGACCTGAAAGGTCAATGCCGATAGAAGAATTGGGCAGCCCTTCGCTGGTTTCTTCCACATTTCAAAGAGAAGGAAAACTGCACTGCAGCTTAACAGGACGGAAACTCTGAATCCAGGTAAATATAATGCTCACGTCTCTTATTTACGCACGGGCGTGCGTAAATAAAAATTTTGTTCATAGCGGCTCAATAGGACTTATGCAGGGCAAGCACACGCGCTATGTTATAATTGGAATTTCTCTTCGAGTGTAACACAAGAAGAGAAATTCCATATCTACAGGCAACCATGTATTATTTTTGTTTATCATATATAAACACAATAGCTCTTTACTGAGAAGAAAAGCCGACTTCATTAATGAATGAAAATAAATAAATCGACAATCCCCGAATAAAAATCGTAGAGTACGTTGGCGCGAACTCTTAAGATGGAAAAATGCGTTGAATCATGATTAAAAACAATAATGGTTGCAATTCTCAATTTACAAAACTCTCATTTATTGACTTTGTCCTTACCGACAGAAGAAGTATTTTAGGCCAAAATAGGCTATTGACAAATCTTCCAGATGTCGATTTTCATTCTCAGCCGACAGAAAAGCCAACACCAAAGCCACTAAATACGTAACTTTCGGTTTTTCTTTTAGTATATTGGTTTTCTTCACTTTCTGTCAGCAATATGTATTTTTTAGTATTTTAGCCGCCATAATTCGAAGAAGCTCCGACAAACAATTTGTATTGAGAATCGTAAAGGCTTTGCACACGTGCAAAAAATACGACATTTTTTCACATGTGTTGAACGGTTTTTCTCAGGGCCAGATATCTCTGTGTAACACCGCAGTTTATGTGATGAAGACGTTTATTTAGCCCGCGCGACCGAATATTGGATATAGGGCGGTTACCAAGGGCATAACATCGTTTCCCTTGCTGGCTAGCACGACACATTCCAATGACAGAAATTTAAGGACTATTTTGGAACTACTCAAACCTCTAGATAAGTCTTTCGCTTCCAAAGTTATTAATTTTGGTGTTGTGAATGTTCACATGAAAATTTAATGTAAATTATCGCGGCTACGACATCATATTTTGTTTTCCCAGCGAATCGTTTACGTAACTACTCCACTGCTGTATTGTAGCAAAGTTTTATCAGACTTCATCAGATAATTTGGTGCATAATTTTCAAAGTTACCAGCAGTAGAAGTTAACTTAATAAAATTTTGGTCATAAGAGGTTCTGCCTCTTTTCTAATGAATTCTGAAATTGCGACTCTTTTCATAAGATCTGCAATTAAATATTCTTTTCAGAAGAAACTTCTACTTCTTTGCTTGCCAGAAAGAGTCCTTGTTCTTGAGGAAAAGAATTCCGGATTCTTGTGACAAGAGTTTCGGAAATTGCGATTTTGTTCGTAAGATTTGCGATTAGATATCCTTTCCAAAAGAACTCTCTGCTTCATTGCATGCGGGAAAGAATTCCCGATTCTTGTAGCAAGAGTTTCTGAAATTGCAGTTCTATCCATGAGGTTTGCAATTAAACATTCTTTCCAGAAGAACTCTCTACTTCATTGCCTGCTGAAAAGAATTCTCGTTCTTGAGACAAGAGTTTCTGAAATAGAGAGATTCTTCTCAAGATATTCAGACGTAATGCATTCTTACCAGAAGAATTCTCTTCTGTTCATTCTTGTTTCAAGAACCTCGATTCTCCTTGAAAGAATCGCAATGAAATGATTATTTTGATAAGAATTTTGGTTCTTAGGAGGAGAATAAGCTATTTGGGGAATTTAGAATGGTGTTCCTCATGTTGTTGTGAATCATATCAAACTGAAGTGACCACGCCCACTTCAACGCCCCACTCAAATCGAGTGTAATTTTCGAACATTTTACCATCGTGCGGATTCTCTACGGAAAAAGCACTCAATGTACCTCTGAAATATTAAACTACAATATTGTGGCTTTCTATTTCGCTAATTTTCTAACTTGAAGGTAAAGCTTTTCCCTCGTCATTTTAACCTTTTCTCCGAGCGGTTGCGTGAAATTAACAAGGCGTTTTTGTTCAAAACACAACCGAGCGAAGCGTCTCGGGTTATATCCCTTTTACGCAAGCGCAATTTAAAAATGTACCGCCAGAATCGAAAAGAGGAACAAATTTCCTTTGTTTTGATATGTAAAGTGTCGAGCAAAAAGCAGATTTACCCTCGTCAAATGGCGTTTCAAAACAGCTGT